AGTCGGCTTTCGCCACTGCTATGGCGGCCACTGCAGCCAGTTTAAACAAAGCTTCCTACTGCCACCACTCATCGTTGATGATGACGATGAACGTGGAAAGAAGAGTAGGGAACAACAACGATGCCAACAGCAACTCCTCGCTAGCTTTTCGTTCACGTATCATCATTACAAATAATGCTGGTAACGATGACGATGATGATGATCACGATGGTCGAGGGCGTAGTCTCCTCGAAATCACGGCGACAAGCATCGACATGCCGTAGCAGCCGAAAGTCGTCCAACTTCAAGTTGTGCGGCTGGTCCTCCCGCGTTTATACGACGGCTCCTACCCCTACGATACGGATAGCGAAGCCGCATCACTAGACCAAACACCACTGACAGGCAGACCACCGATTTCTTGACTGGCTCTGTAACTGATCCAGCGGCGCCAACAATATCTAAGCAGATTCTGTGACGTTTAGCACCAGCAGAGATATCAACAGGCAAATTCGAGGTGGAATGGAACGATCTGAAGGAGGAAAAGACGCGATGAGCGTTTATTTGAACACTTTTTTCCCCGTAGTGGTTTTCGTAATGATAATACAGCGGCAGGCCCTATAGAGTCACGTTCTTTTCGGCCGTGAATTGGGTGGAGCTGTACGACGTATCGGGCGTCGCTCGACGTAGGGCATCTTTAAGGACTGAAAACCAAAAAGGGAAAGTGGGCAGTCACCGAACAAACTAACGCTACAAATTAAGGAAAGTGTACCTCGTCTCTCAGTGTCGATGAAAACCAGCTTCTTACGCTAACAAGATAGGGCTAAATTTTATTGTTACTTTCAGATGGAAAGATCTTTGTCAAGAAATAAGGACATGCGGGCCAGCTGATCAACGTGATCTGAGAAACTGACCTGCAAGTCGTGCGCTAGTGATCTATTATTTATATTGCATGCTATATAAAAACCTGAAATCTCACCCAGAGAACTATAGGTGCATGATAAGAGAGTCGTTCGTGTCACGCGACTGATTTCAAAAATCCCCTGATCGACTATGAGCAATCTTTCTTATATGGCTTTAAGCAAACCTGATAGAGAATACGCGTGAGAACCTAAAATGCTAAGTAATACGAGCAAATAGTCTGTAATTATGATGTTGGTTTTCTGTTACATTTAGCTCCAACGGGGAAATAGCCCGTCGAAGTGGGAAGTTTCAAGGATGTAACCCTTTAACTAAACGCGATTCAGTGAAATGATCAAACCGCTCTTAAACACTTCCTGTCTCTTCCCGCCTTTGTAGCTGTTTTACGAAATCTGTTTTGTATGGCGAACTTGTAGGGGTAGAACGAAGGGCAGGGTCGTCTGACACCGGATTCGTCGGTGTTCGTATAATATATTGACATGTGTGTGTGCCTGTGGGTGTGCAGATGCTTGTGAATTCATGTCTACGACTAATTCGATTCCTAGCACAGTTGACTTCTTCGACGTTTTCCTTTGCCCTATCGTACATCTACGATGTGCAGTATGGCGAACTAACAGGCTCGGATGTTGATGTTGTTGCTCCGAGTACGTGTTGGATCCGGATCATAACAGCATCAGCAGCTGAAGCAGACTTGTAGTGTGCCTATGGGGTTATTTATGGCACGCCAACGACGACGACGACGACGGTGATGATGATGGTTATGCCGATGGTTATTGTTATGATTCTGTTAATGACGGCGCTGGAGCTAGCAACACGCTGGTTGGTATTCGCCATTTGCTATTTCGACAATGCTATGTGAAGCGATGACGACGAAGGAACGCGGACCTTGGCCCGGCCTGTTTCCCTTTTAATGGACGCGCACGTCATAGCAGCCGCTGTTTCGATCTGACCCGCTGGACGGCCGAACAGCGGACCACTCCTCGGTGTGGGTGTTACTGACTGGTTGACTAACTGTTGTTATTTCAATAAGGGCGTGTGTTTGTGTGATATCTACGTGTACATCTACATACGTATGTGTGCGTCTGTGACGATCTGCGAGGGTGCACGCCTGTTCGCGAGTATGTGAGGGGCAGAACGGCGGCGCGAAGTACCCGTTCAGTTAAGTTGCTGTGAGCAGGTACTATGGGTTGGCCGTTCAAGCACAAAAATCTTCCACGCGACGACACAGCGCACCGAGAGACGGAGAAACAGCACATTTCACCACTCACACACGACTAGACAGATAACACGTGCACTTGGGCAGAAACACCGATCCATCAGCATAGCGCACATGTTTGTACTACTACCAATAGCGGCCCAGCTATGTAAAAGGTAGTGGCTGCAGCAGGCCGCTCCCGATCACCAATTGTAACTGTATTATAGACTATTTTGCGCGCGTCCACGAGCTAAATTCTGTCAGATCGTTAATTCTGTTGTTAGTAATTCAGCTAACAGCATATAAGGAGTGTGAATGTTCAGACTATTAAGTAAAGGCCAACGTTTTGTCTCTCGTCGCTTCAGTTATCCCCTTTTCGTATTGTTAACGGAAAATTTATGCCCTTAACTACTTGTCGACGCGGCAACGTTGGACGAAAACGGAACAGACAAGACGATGGCAGGCGCGACATAATCTCCGATGACGACGATGCTATCCTTGAGTATTTCTTACCAGTACAAAAGGACAAGCGGTAACTACTACGGACAGTGGCGTCATATCCAGGCGATATCGTCACCGGAGTCGATGGAGACATTCATATGTATCGCCGGATTTCGGTAAGAGTGGTAGTGTCGATGCAGGCCGCAGTAACGAGGAAAGACATGCGTCCGCTAAATGCAATACCCGAAACGGAGTCCCTACATTTATCTACCGTATGCTGACTAAAAGTCTTCTGAAGGCTTAATTCATCGCAGTACGCCATCCAGGGTGGCCGGTTTAGTTATGTGGAATGAAAACGGATAGGAAATTGAAGCAGGCAGCCCTTTTGGCTTGCCGTATGACGACATTTCGACCGACGTAGAGGGCGATCAGACAGTGCAGATGTAGGAATACGGAAGCCAGGTCATGAGTTGCGTTCCTGCGATAACGAATTCAACCACGACAACAACAACAACAACTTAAAACGATGGTAGGATCGCGATCTAGGATTTTATTTGATATAGCTGAATTCAAATTCAGCCATTCGTACGCTCTCACCGTTCACGTTTCTCGCGAGGCGGCAAATCTAGTTGAAGATAGAAAGACTGCTAGCAATAATGGTGCAGATCTGTTCCAAGTCTAGTTGATCCTAACGAACACCTAATGACTATAAAAAAAAAGTCTAACTCGTCCATCGTTCAGGTTAGACGAGGCTGGCCACCCAGTTTGCTCGCTGGGGACAGAAATCAGAGAAAAGCAAGAAGTCGCTGGCGATCAGCTGCCGCCAGTAGTCAGGTACTTGAGACGCCCTGATTCGTCTGTGCTCTTTTTTGTCCCTCTCTGAATGGCGACGGCGACGGCTGCTTTGCAGTGCTTTTTCGTCTGCTGCAGCTGTGCTAGAAGTAGCAAGAAGCTTCGAATTTACAACCGCCGGTGTCATTTGTTCAGTACACCGAGCCGCCGTCTTGGGAAGAGATAGCGCGGCCACGACCAGCGGGGGTCATAATACGGCAGTAGGATGAAACACATTGAAAAGTAGACTATGACAACTTTGTAATAGGTAGATATAGCAACAGTATATCGTCTGTGGATAATAAAACTCTGGAGTGGGATTTTGTGTCGATGCATGGTTGGCCAAGCTACCGGCCAAGCAATGTGAAATACTCGAACCTCATCTCAAGGCCTATAGTTCGTTTGCGTCTTGCGTGAGTATGATTAGTAATGTTGACCGCCGGATATTGAGAAGGAACGAGAACGTACACGGAAAAATAGCGACAGTGGCGACGAGAGCGTTGAGTGACGACCAGCGTCAGAGAGATATAAAATGAGGATGGCTCCAAAGTCGCTGATGAAAATTAGGCTTTTTTCGCTTAATGGCCCAGTGTCCCTTCGCTCCAGCGCCTTAGTCTTTCATGCCCAAGATCTCTTAGATTTGTTCAATTTTCCCCTTAGTCTTCTCGGTCACTTTCTACCCATAGTCGAGATTGTTTCCGATAAGAGGAGCCGCTTGAATGGTCTGCTCGATGAAGTACCCGACTGAACACGCGGTACTCCTCGCCACTGAGCGTCAAACGAAGGAGACTATCTAATTGCTTGGAGTGCAGAGCTCACTTTCAGACTGCTGTCTGTTAACCGTTCATCTGATGGACGCGACGCATCGTGCGCTGAAGCCTTAGGTTAAAAAAGCGTCTGCAATGAACGAACCTAGTAATAACAGCCGTTGCAGAAATAAAAGTACGTTGCACTGCGTAAAATTAGTACTGACATTGTTGATTGTAACGGATTGACAGTGTACGATCCCAATGGCTTCGTGTTAGAGGTGGCTTTTCCTGCTATTTATTATAAAAAGATTCGGCAAAAGGGGCAAAGCGCGAGAAGGAATTGGTAGAACCAGTCCCTCGCGCGTCATAGTAAGCTGCCTCAAAGCTGGTCCTCACTATTACTCCCCGAACATTTGCAGAACGTCAACTGATTGGAACCTTTCCGCCGCTACGTATGCTCATTGATCCTATCCCTAAAATACTTCCATCCCTTGTGCACTTTTTTTACTCGCCTGTTTCTGGGCCCGCTCTCACCAGCGTTGCCTTCACTGGTCCTTCCATTGAATAATGATAATTCGGTACATCGGCTGATGATCATCATCGCAATAGTGATAAGTGTATTTCTCAACCTTGACACTGCCTTAATGTTGTATGTTAATTCAGTGGTATGCTTCGCTGTCTCGACAGCGCATGCTATTGTGGCTTGTTGCTGCGGTTACGGCTTCAGTAACAGCAGCCCCCCGGGGCATCTGAGCGTTCAGTTAGAGTAAGGACTAGCAATCGGAGCGTAATATGACAATATAGGAGTGCGATATGACAATTAACAGTGCCACGTATTTAGCTGGACCATTAACGAAATGTTTTATTTTCTGTTTGTCGTATTACAGAGTGAGTGCTGCTGCTGTTGCTGCTCTGATGCGCTAGTGGGGGCGAGTAGGAGTCCTTCCTTTTTCGCCCACGGCCGCTATGGCCTCCCCTCCGTTACCTGCCAACCTCACCCTGGCCGGCGTCGTGTCGGCCATCATCGTCCTGTTCCCACTAATAGCGTCGCCAACGGTCGGACGCTACGTGAGCGCCGATGACTGCGACTGGCAAACGTTATCGCCAGGCGCGCCTGAAGTGGCCATGCGCTGTCGTTTCCAGTCGCTTCGTGCGGGTCCTGACGCCACGAACTTTTCCCTCATTCAGCCAGACACCACGCGCGCAATGAGCGTCGTCTGTGACGCTCTCTTCACCGAGAGCCAGCTAGCGAATGGTACATTCGAAACGCTTCGACAGTTGCGTAGCCTCAGCATCGAGCGGTGTAAACTAGAAGAACTGCCATCGCACGCATTTTCAGGGCTCACCGAGCTTAGCAATTTGACAGTACGTACGCACAACGGCGAGTGGGGTGCCATCTCGTTGTCCATTGCTCCAGGCGCTTTAAACCACCTGAAAACATTGGAACGCCTTGATATGGCGCATAATAATATGGTTGCTCTTCCGCGGGCACCGTTTTGCCAGCTGGAATCGCTTCAATCGCTAAATCTGACGCACAACTCACTTACGGATCTAAACAATGTGGGCCTGAGCAGCGACGACTGCCAATTGAACGGCTTACTTGAGTTAGACCTATCGTCGAACAAGCTTCGGTACGTCGATGATCGCGCCTTTGAGAACTTGTCCAACTTGAAGAAGCTCTACCTACAACGCAACGAACTCGCCCAAATGGTTGAGACAGCTCTGTCAGGTTTATCGCGTCTTCAGCTTCTGGATATGTCGAACAATCGGCTGAATACGTTACCACCGAAAGTGTTGCAGGGTTCCGCTGACCTCAAGGAACTTTATCTGCAGAACAATAGTATTGGATTGCTATCACCGACAACATTTCGCGGATTGCAACAGCTCGTGGTATTAAATCTAAGTGACAATCAAATTTCAAGTGAATGGATTGCTCCCGAGACGTTCGCCGATCTGATCCGGTTAGTTGTGCTGCATCTGAGTAACAACAGACTTCGGCATATTAATGCCACGGCCTTTGCTTCCCAATACAGCCTCCAGATTTTACATTTAGATGGGAATCAGATCGAGACGATTGACGACAATGCGTTCAATTCTTTATATAACCTGCACACGCTTATTCTCAGTGGAAATCGACTTCAGAGTTTAGATGCATTTACCTTCAACGGATTATATGTATTAAGCAATCTTGCGCTTGATGGGAACCTTCTGTCGTCGCTGCATCCCGATGCGTTCCGCAACTGCAGTAGTTTGCAAGATCTTGAGCTGTCTGAGAATCAGCTGAGCCAGATCCCTCGTGGCCTTCAACATCTGCGGTTCTTGCGCGCACTAGACCTGTCGGGTAACCTGATCGACGATGTCACCAACCTTACCAGTGCCAATTTGACCAACCTTCATAGCCTAAGTTTGGCGCGCAATCGCATCGGTAACATGACGAAGGGTACCTTCGCCAAGTTCCGCTCATTACGCCGCCTCGATCTTTCTCGTAATCAGATTGGCGGATTGGACCATGCGATCTTTGACGATGCGCCCGCGCTAAATACAATCCAGCTGCAAGACAATTTGCTTCGCGACATCAATGGCCTGTTCATGAATCTTGCGCATCTGAGGCTACTGAATGTTTCTCGCAACGCTATCACGTGGTTCGATTACGCGCTCGTGCCGGCGGCACTTAAACATCTCGACCTACACTCGAATGAAATCGAAGTGCTTGGCAACTATTTCGAAATGGAGTCGGCCATGCACCTAAAGATTCTCGACGTTTCGCATAACCGCCTGCGCGAGATCAACGCCGCATCAATCCCTCACCGCGTCGAGAGCGTCGCCCTATCGAACAACCTCATCAGCGTGATTCACCCATTCACGTTCATGCTCAAAGCCAACCTGTCGCGAGTCGACCTAAGTAATAATCGATTGCAAAATATTGACATCAACGCATTGCGTCTTAAGGCTACGCAAGACCTCAACCGGCTGCCTGAATTCCGTATCAGCGAGAATCCATTCTTCTGCGACTGCACGATGGAGTGGATGCAGAAGATCAACGCGCTTGACGAGTCAAGGCAATACCCAAGGGTTGTCGATCTGGATCGCCTTGAATGTCAATTGCCGTTCTCGCGCCGAAGAACCAAGGTACCATTGCTGCAGGCAAACCAATCAGACTTTCTTTGCAAATATAAGAGCCATTGCTTCGCCCTTTGCCACTGCTGTGAATTCGACGCGTGCGACTGCGAGATGACCTGCCCCGACGGCTGTAGTTGCTATGCCGATTCGACGTGGAATTCAAACGTGGTGGACTGCAGCTTCACCAGCCACAGCGTGATTCCAGTGCGAGTGCCGATGGATGTGACCGAGCTATATTTAGACGGTAACGACATGCCTCAGCTGGCTAGTCATTCGTTCATTGGTCGAAAACAACTGAGAGTTGTGTACCTCAATAACAGCAATGTTCAAGTGATCCGAAATCGAACCTTCACCGGGCTGGCGAATCTGCAGGCTCTCCACCTCGACCACAACAAGATCACCGCGCTCCACGGGCATGAATTCGACAACCTTACAACGTTGCGAGAACTCTATTTATCCCACAACCGGTTAAATTTCATCAGCAATGTCACCTTCTCGCAGCTGCGTTCGCTTCGCGTACTGCACCTAGACAACAACTACATTGTCGAGTTCCAAGTATGGATTCTCAGCCAAAATCCGCTGCTTACCGAACTTCGACTTGGTCACAACCCATGGAGCTGCGAGTGCCGCTTTCAGGAATCTCTGTTTGACTGGGCGCAAATGTTTGGCGCTAACGCTCTTCAGGACGCGAGCGCCACGAGGTGTAGAGGGAATGACACGCTCGGCCCACCCCTAACGCTCTTCAATGCCACCGCCTGCGCAACAAACCGCATCGCGGTAACTGGCAGTACCACCAACGGCAATGCACTTGGTGGCTTCACCAATGGAGTCAATCAAATCGAAGCCGCCGATGACTCTCACTACTTGGGAGGAGTGATTCCTGACCTGAAGCTAGATGTGCTGCCTATAGTTGGGTGGGCCATTGTGGGGCTTATCCTATTCCTCATCGTCGTGGTATTGATTATCTGTATTGCATACCGCAAAGACATTCGCGTATGGATATACGCGCACTATGGTGTGCGTCTGTTTGAGCGTCGGCGCGAAGAGCCCGAGAAGCTATTCGATGCATTCATTTCGTATTGCAAGAAGGATGAGCCGTTCGTGGCGCAGCTTCTGGCACCTGAGTTGGAGTGCGGTAGCGGTGGCGCAGGAGGTACGGCGCCGTATCGGCTGTGTCTTCGCTACCGTGACTTGCCAATGTCGGGCTATGTCGCCGAAGCGATCGGCGAAGCCATCGAATGCAGCCGTCGATCAATTGTCGTATTGTCCGAGCAGTTTTTACGCAGCGAGTGGTGCCGTTTCGAGCTTAAGTCGGCGGCTCGCGATGCCCATGTGCGGGGCAGCACCGACGGTGGTTCCTCCCTTGTCGTCATCGTGTTGGATAAGGGTGCGATGCGCCTCCTTGACGCCGAGGCTCGTCTGAGCCTTCGCGGCGCCCCAGTAATCCAATGGGGCGAAAAACGGTTCTGGGAGAAACTACGGTATGCCCTGCCTGATCCGCAGGCGTCGTCTCGGAAACAGCAGGTCATGCTCCCACACGGCCAGCAGGTGATGCTACCAAGCGATGCCACGATACATCGCTATAACACAACAACTGGACTCCACTCCGCTGTCAAGCTCGTCTAGTGCCTTTATAACAAGTCGAAGCTAGCTAGCCATAAAAAAAATCAGCAAGCCAGATGGCAAGAAAGAAGAAGTCTTTGGTTAGTCACTGACGCTGATATACGCATGGTAATGGCGAATCATAGTGGGCTAACTGACACGGGTACATATAAACAGACACAGATGCACACAAAGTGAGACACACATTAAGATCATGTGAAAAGATCTGGAAGTTACCGCAAAGAAGATTGCGATCGCGTTGTTTCAGCCGAGGCCGACGTCGACGCGGTATTCAGCAGCGACCGTTTAGAGACGATACCTATGTCAGTCGACAGAAAGGCGCCCGGCGTTCAGTTGCCAAATAGCTACGCTGGTCGGGTAGATGCTATGATCAGGCAAATCAGCAAGAATATGAGAAAGAAAGATGAGTGAACACATTGTACATATAACGAAGACAACGGTACACGAGTGTGCACACAGGGAGAGAGATACATAGGCGTAGGGTCTGGGATGGTCAGAGTCGCCATGGTCGCGAAGCGGACGTGATGACAGTGGTCTGTTATCAGAAGGATGCTGGAATACGTGAATAAGTGAATGAATGGACGAGTGAACACGTGACGGGTGACAGGAGATGACAGCAACAACAGAGATATCTGCAGCAGGGTTAAAGCACACACAGATCCATATTCATACACACTGTAATAATAATAATAATAATTGATTGCGTAATTTATTACTAAGACGCCGCATACGCCCGGCCAGCGAGTTCCTGCATTGTACATAGTCGTTGTATCAAATGTAGTCCAAAAGTGCTGACAACAACAACAACAACAACAACAACAAAAACAACAAAAACAACAATAACAACAAAGATGATGGTGATTGTATCAAACCGTACTCTCCAAGATGATTGATTAACCAACTGAGGGAGGCAAAAACATCTACAAAACGAAATATGTGTTTCGCTGTTCTATCCAAGGGGCACGCGGGCCCTTTGTGCGAACACACGAACGAATTAATATTATACTATTCCTAGCCCGCCATTTGCTCCTTTGAAGCATCTGGTAGCTTTGCAAAGACTACGTAGGTCTTTACGTAAAGAAAACGAACGTCCGAATCTAAGTCAAACTCTCTAGCCACTACCCTTCGTGTCCCCTGTTTAGTTTTCACCCGTAATCACGTCACTCTCTTGTCTGTACCTACCTAAAACACACTTTCCTATTCATCATTAATTAGTAAATAGTGACCAATAAGCCATTTTTGATGTTCTGTATACACTATTAAGGCCCTGTGCTGTTCCTCTCCTCCCAGACACATAGAAGAGACCATGTCGTATACCAGTGCGAAATGACTGTTTCAACGTCAGACTTTCTTGGTTCGTACGTTGAAACTCGTCTGATCGACAATCTCACACATTACATCACCTAACACAGCATACGACGGAGCAAAAATGGTCGATGACACTTTCACAGCTACACCTATTTAGTGGCATGTGTGTTCGTATAGTTACTTCAATTTTCTCTCGATTCGGCGACAAAAAAACCTATTATTGTTAGGTTTCTCTTGTTCCAGCCATCTTTCTACGACGATAATGACCGTGTTATCTTTGTTACCTATTGTACCATATGTAAATATGGGTTTTTCTCATTATTTTGTAAAAGATTTAACGCGGACGTAAAAACAGGAAGAAGGGACAGTACCAACAAAAATCGTCTGCTTTACGTAGTCTCGTAGCGTCTCGTAGAACTAGTGAAGTAGACAAAAGCTGTGAGTTGACGCAAAGGCAGGGAATGGAAAAAGTGCAAGAATTCACGTAAAAAAAAAAAGCTTGGGACGAACGTAATCAACTAACAGAGGCCACGACTGGGCCATTTATGATAAAAGTGTATAACTAATAATAATTGAGCTGGAAGAAACGCCCGCTGGCATTGGTCGACAAGGTTTGTAACAGAGAGAAAATAACAAGCCAATACGGGATGAATTCTATATGACTGTATTTATTATTGCAAATCGTTTGAAGGCCGAGGCACAGACACACAACTAATTACAGATATCTCAACAAATCGATAGATTTCTGTAAACGATGAATAACTGTGTAGTAATTGATAATTGCAAAGTCGAGTGTATGCGAACGTTAAATTGTCGCCACGCTCGAGGTATAGCATACGAAAAAATCTCGACGATAGCGTAACGGCCGCCGGAAAACTGTTGTCGCAAGATAATAGGGGCTTGGATGAGGTCGATTTGTGGAGCTTGTTGAATGTTTTCAACGGTTTTGCGTCTACCTTTGCTAAGTTCAGAGGCCCTAGTGAACTTTGCCTTAATATTCTACTTTGCCGCTTTTCTATGCTGTTGCTCAGCGGCCATTCGCGTACAACACCTATCGTATAGTATCGATAGTCATGGCTCTCTTCGTCGCGTTTGTGTTGCGCTCCGCTTCCGATCGTAGAAGATCCGTCAGAAATGGACACCTGTTCGTGCAGTGATTGAAGCCGCCGTCTATGCGACAGCTGTGTAGATATGAATGTACTCATCATGCGCGTACGATTTTTTCGTCTCGATACTCCTGTTTTCTGCTGTTTTTCTTCACAATCTACTCGATTTTTATTCCGTCCATCTGCGCATCAGAAATCCCTCTCCTGTGTCATTTCTGCTATCACTTTTCCTACTACTACCACTACTGCTGCTGCTACTGCTACTACTACTACTACTACTACTACTGTTCCGTGCGTTTTTCTTTTCTAATGGAATACGTCGTAGTGGCTATAGGGGCGGCGGCGGCGGCGGCGGCGGCGGCGGCGGCGGCGGCGGCGGCGGCAGCGATGGACCACCCGAGAATCGATTTCGGTCAAAATGGATCTGCTCCATTTTTTCGGGTTTCTGCTGCTGTCATTTTGCCAGCCATAGTTAGACCAGTAACGCTCGCCATTGCACCGACTTATTGATTGTTTACTTGCTGAACGATCCTCCCTCAGACGTTCCTTCCACTAATTCTGACGGTGGAAATGACGCTGAGGAAGATCGGGACGATGACTGTGGTGATGATGATGATGATGATGACGACGGCGAGGATAGGGATGAGAACATTGTCGAATGTTGTCTTGCGCGAGCGCAAACAAAGGCATTGACGCGAAGTAAACGATGGACTGTACTAAACGAACTAGAAGACGAAGAAACAGAGTAGAAATTTTTAAGTCGGTCATGACAAAGACAACAAGAGAATTTTGTACGCGTTCTCGCAATGCGATTGTAGAATAGGGCCGGGGAGACATTATCAAGAACTAACTAAATGCTAATGATAATGGTGAACTGATGATGAATTAAAATACACCGAAGTATATAAATATATATAGTAGTAGTAGTAGTAGTAGTAGTAGTAGTAGCAATGAACGAAGAGCGGATGACCAGTTGAGAAAAGCGTAACGCGAGTATATATTGGGTCGAGGGAAGAAGCTGTTCTGCAGAAGAGGGGAAGAAAGAGGTGCAGAGTCGCGGCTCCGTCGTGCAGCCATCATCTCGGAAAGGTGGTGCGCGCGTGCAGCGGAAGGCCGAATGTACATTGACTTTGTAAGCTGTGATACAAGACAAAAACACAACGGGGACGCACACACAAACGGAAGATGACGACGACGATGATGATAATGATAATTATGACGGTCACAAAAGGCATAGGAGAGACAAATGTTGAAAGCGAGATGGAGGCAGTTGTCATTATCGCCGTTGTGGTCGTCGCCACTAATTGTAAATTAATAAAAGGTTCAAACAATGCATTTCTGCTATTTTCCGTCTACGTAGAATATATATGTACGTGTATCGAGATAATGAAATAGGTAAAGGGCTGGATATATGACATAAAGTTGCTTGCTAGTTGTTTACTGATTCCCCGTTGACCAGGTGGGTTTGTTAATAAGAGCCGTTAACGTATTGACGAGAGACAGGCGATATTTACAGTTATGTCATACACGAACTCAAGGGCAACGCTATCATGAAGATAGGATACATAGTAATAGTTTTCGAAATACGTCTACGTAAGCTTGATCTATGGAAGCTATAGATTTCAATTTAGAAAGAAGTAGATAGCTAAATTTAGTGAGCGAAGTGGTCGATGAGCTTCGCTTGAATCAGGCCAGACGAATGAATGAAATACTGTCAATTAGGCTGGAAGTAATGTGGCCTGTGACCAATTCAACTCCTACTTATAACGCCTTAGCAGCCCTATTTCGTTCTCCCGTTTAGAAGTGTTTGCACTGTCAGTAGTCAAAAGTAAATATCGACCATCATTACTATCGGTTGACATAAAAGCTCTCATCGAACTCTACGAATTAGGATATCAGAGACATCCGGCCTGAGGCCCGGGTAGCAGGAACGAGGAAGCTGGTAAACACTAGCAATTTTATGACCATTCTTGAATGGCGATATAATATTAAGCAACTATCGTGACTCAGGTAGCTCGTAAATGAGCAGAATCTAGATAAATTAGATATCGATACTAAACTTAACATGGGACCTTATAATTTTTCACGAGGGGTGAACTTATTTATGTTCAGTAAATGATATCCCATAACCTTCTAAAGACAATAATTAATGCACGATTTCTCTCACAGGCAGTTCATTACGGGATTGTATAATGTAATGCATTCATCATTCACCCGGAGTACTGCTAAAAAAGGCAACCCCTGAATTGTTAAATTGATATTAAGCAAATGGGATTTTTCGGTTGCCGTAGTATTTTATTATACCCGAAGAACTACATTGCGCAATCTGTGGCGTTGCCACGCTTGTGGAATCCCGTCCTCTCAGCCCATAATTGCAGCTTTAAAACCCAGAACATCATTCTTCAGCAAATATACTATGTAAATAGTGAATATGCGACCTAATGGGAGACCCGTGGCAGAAATTGACATGGTTCAGCAAACACTGCAGTCATTTTGCAGAATTTGTATATAAATAGCTCTTCTTTTTATTTGATTTTACTCGAAAGGTTTTAACGAGGTACAAGTGGTCGTATGGATTACAGCCGATCTACTATAAATAGCGTATGCTTCGTAAGCTTGTGAGTTCTGTCTAGCAAGAAAAGCAACGAAGCAGCAATATCATCTCAAAAAACACCAGCAAATACTACTACAACAACAGAAGCAATAATTCGAAGGAAAAGACCAGTTGAAAATAGGATGGATTACGATGGTGGCCATCGGCACTGCCGCCGCCGTTACGCGCTCACCGTTTCACTCGAGGCCGCTCCTTTTGTTCTCCAAGTTTCTGTTCGTCTTCTTCGTCAATCTCTTCTCTGCCTCCTGTGAC